CCCTCCCAATATCCGACACTCCCTCACCTACCAACGGGACCACGTCTTTCGTCCCATCCGACACAAAAACTACGTCCAACGAGTCTGGCGTCTGATATGGTACCCTCTCTGCCTCGGATACCCCCTCCTCCTCCGATACCCTGACAATCTCCGCCTCGGGTACCCTCTCCTCCTCCGACACCCTCTCGACCTCCCGCTCGGGTATCCCCTCCTCCTCCAACACCCTGACGACCTCCGCCTCCGACACCTTCCCGACCACCGCCTCGGGTACCCCCTCCTCCTCCGGCACCCTCCCGACCTCCGCCTCTGTTACCCTCTCCTCCTCCAACACCTTCCCGACCTCCTCCTCCGGTACCCTCCCGACCTCCTCCTTCGTCTCCATCGGGGCCTGATCCTCCATCTCCATATCTATCGAGCCACCGAGATATGAAGTTAATGCATCATTCGATGACCACAACAAGTCAACATACCCCGTTTGACCTCCTCGACCCTGATAACCACCAGCCCCTCCGTCACCCCCTCCATCCCGATAGTCGCCTGCCCCTCCTTCAACCCCTCCGTCCTGATAGCCACCTGTCCCTCTATCACCCCCTCCGTCCTGATAGCCGTCTGTCTCTTCGCCACCCCCTCCATCCCGATACTTGTCAGTCCCACGCAGGCCTACTATGTCGCCCCGTATCACTACGACCTCAGCATAAAGATCTCCTAAATCGACCTGTACCATTCCGACATCACGTCGTAAGTCAGCTACTTCGCCTCGTAAGTCAGCTACGTCACCTCTGATCTCCATCATAAGTCGAAACATATTATCGATGGAAGCACTCTGATTACGTGCAGCTGATCCACGTGGGAGGTGTCCAGACGCAAAAGATGGTGATCTCATGCAGGGAGGTGATACTCTCGGCAGAAGTGACCACACGTAGGGAGGCGACATCCTCGGGGAATGTGACACCTTCGACGGAGGTGATAGTCGACGGTGCTCTTAAAAAAAGAAACATTACAAATCAATAATTTAATTAAAAAATTATAACGATAATCAACATATTATATTCAATTAACATACCGTGTCCCGATCGACTATGGACTTAGGCCTCTCTCAAGCAGCACGGTCTGTCAACAACTCACGGATATAAGTTTGATCCTCCTCCTCGATCGATGGTGTTAGCTCAGTGAGGACTTCAAGCTGACATATTGACATTTCATCGAATTACTGACCACGTATCCAACTTCGAAAATGATATACAACAGAAAGCACAAATATATAATACGTACCCCAGGATCGTCTAGGATAACTGATAACTGTTTTGCAAGGGGCTTGTTTTATGCTAGCCAGCGGTGCATTTGAGGGATGCATGTATCCCCTCTCCTCACATACCGACCAGCCAGGATGGGAACAGTCTCGTAGACCCATATTTGCAACAATTACGATTATTATTTGTACAATTTAATAAAAAAATGGATAACTCATTATATTAAACATTTACCTGCAAAACTAACGGCATGCCATATACATCGTACTTACGCTCCGACCTATCTCTCCTAGGCATCGAATGCCCCCTTCTGAAGACGCATAAAGTATCGACAAAGCATCCCTCCCCCCACGGATAGCTGTTGAACGTATTGATGTCATCAACAACTTGCAAATGAAAAATGTCAATCGACGTCTTCCTGTGATGACACCTCAGTAAGCTCTCCAGTATAAACACCATCCCCAACTTCAACTTGTCGGACATCTGGTCGCATCCCCTGAATGCATCTCCTAACTACGCCAGTGTCACTGTCGTGTGCCCATAAAATAATCATTCAGCAGCCTCTTGTCTGTCAAAATACTGGCCCTCGTTACCTCTTCGCCTGTACATCTCAATCCAGTGATGAGGGCAAACTCGAGTATAGAAAATGTAGCAACCTTACCCCCAAGATCAAAGTGGAGGGCATCTCCGTCAACTGGCTTAAGCAGCAGACACAGTAATGAATCGATCAACTGTCCAAAGAATTATACAGATCGCAGTGAATACAGGGGCCATAGGCAGGATCAACGTAATATCTCTGCGTGCTCCTTATCCAGTGAATCCAACACTGCTGTGAAGCTGGCAAAGTTACCTACAGTTCGACGTAATTTTGTCAAGAACCTGTCTCAAGGCTACGTCCAAATGGTAATCCATTCTGCAAAATTTCAAATATTAGAACATTTGAAACATAATGTCACAAAATTCAACTAACCGAACTGTAAGTAATTTACGCACGAAATAACATATAATAAAGAAAATGAATTAAAAATTACACAACTTATAAAAAAGGGAAAAACTAATTTTTGTAAAATTATTTATTTCATAGTTTATTTTAATCCATGCTAGAAATTTATTTCAATTCTTTATTTAATTAAATTTGATTATTTATATTAATTACATATTTAAATAAATTATTTTGAAAATTTATATTTCTTAGTTATTTAAATTGTCTGTTTTTATTTAAATGTTCATTATTTATTTCAATTGTTTATTTGTTTATTTAACATTTATTTTAATTGTTTATTGAATGCTTAACTTTTAATTATTTATTATAATTGTATATTTAATTAGTTTCTTTAAATTATTTATTGAACATTTAAACATAAATATGCAATTATTTGTTATATTTTTCTTTAGTTGTTTATTCAATATTTATTTTAATTATTAATTGAATATTTAATTATTTATTTTAAATGTTAGATATTTATTTCAATTGTTTATCTACATTTTAATTACTTACTTTGATTATTTTTATCCAATTGTTTTTCGTTTAATTATTTTAATTGTTCATTTAAATTATTTGATTTAATTACTTATATGAATCGATTATTTAAATTATTTATTGAACAAGCAAACATAAATATTTAATTATTTAATTCAAATGTTAGAAATTTGTATCAATTAAATTTTAATTGCGTATTTTGATTATTAACATTTATTCATTTATCATTTAAATAATCATCTAATTATTATTTAAATGTTCATTATTTATTTTTGTGAGTTTCAATTAATCATTTATCCCAATTGTTTTTCATTTATTTGTTTCAATTGTTCATTTAAATTATTTGATTTAATTACTTATATGGATAGATTATTTAAATTATTTATTGAATAAGCAAGCGTAAATATTTAATTATTTAATTCAAAATTTAGAAATGTGTATCAATTAAATTTTAATTGCGTATTTTGATTATTAACATTTATTCATTTATCATTTAAATAATCATTTAATTATTATTTAAATGTTCATTATTTATTTTTGTGAGTTTCAATTAATCATTTATCCCAATTGTTTTTCATTTATTTGTTTCAATTGTTCATTTAAATTATTTGATTTAATTACTTATATGGATAGATTATTTAAATTATTTATTGAATAAGCAAGCGTAAATATTTAATTATTTAATTCAAAATTTAGAAATGTGTATCAATTAAATTTTAATTGCGTATTTTGATTATTAACATTTATTTATTTATCATTTAAATAATCATTTAATTATTATTTAAATGTTCATTATTTATTTTTGTGAATTTCAATTAATTATTTATTCCAATAGTTTTTCATTTATTTGTTTCAATTGTTCATTTAAATTATTTGATTTAATTACTTATATAGATCGATTATTTAAATTATTTATTGAACAAGTAAACGTAAATATTTAATTATTTATTTCAAATGTTAGAAATTTCTTTCAATTAATCTGTAATTAAATTTTAATTGCGTATTTTGATTATTAACATTATTTAGTATTTACATTTTTCATTTATCATTTAAATAATTATTTAACAACATTTCAATTATTTTAATTCTCATGGAAAAAAATTAATACTCGATACAGATGGCCCAGGCAGTCTGTTAACAGACGGCTTGGGCATCCCAGCTGGGCCGTCTGTTGCAAGCTCTGCCCTCCAGCCACCAAAACCTTAAAAAAAATTACTTTCTAGTAATTTTACATAATCTACAATGATTTCTACCACTATTTCCAACAAAATAAACCTTTAACATTCAGGTTGAAAGATTAATGGGGGGAAAATAAGCAAAACTTACTTTCTTCGCCTCTAATGATAGACAGTCGGTCTCCTCCCAAGAAAAAGTCATTGGTTTCCTTGCTACTTCTTCCCCTTTTTTCTCTAGACGTCGGTTTGAGAGTGAAATGTCAGGGGCAATTTTGGGTTTTCAATGTTTTTAAGGTTTTTACAAATTTTTGAATTTTTTTTTTAAACGGTAGTGAACGACCATTTTGAAAAATTGTCTATTTTTTATGGCTATCTGCCACCATTTCCTCATGTGGGGGGTGGTTTTGTTTTTTTTTTTTTTAATTTTTTACTTAATAGAAAAAATGTGTTATGTTCATATTGCCCTTATTTAGGAAAAATTATTAATTTTTTTATTTATGGGGTCAACTGACGGTTTCTGCGGTCAAACTTACGAAAACCGTCTTTTTGGACTAGAACTACGAATTTTTTAAAGGTTTGGTACCTACGGTGACACAAATGAAAGATTTATGTCAAGTTTGTTACTAAATGTAAGGTTTGGTAACTTGAGCGCAATTTTTCCAAAAATTCATTTCATCCATCACTCAATCACTCATATTTTAAAAATTAGCAGTCTTGATTAACTTATCAAAATATTATAAAATAACCGGTTTTTTGCCGTAACATCAAGTCACATATAAATCTATATAAAATCAAAGTGTAATTACCTAATTGACATTAGAAGTGAAAGTATAGTCGCTCCTAGAAAATGAAACTACAATTTGTCGCCTAACTTCTCGAAGTAAATAAGCTCAATCATACTTTTCAAACTTTTTTTTTTTTCTCTATATACTCAATCATACTTTTCAAACTTTTTTTTTTCTCTATATACTCATTTATAATCACACATTTAAAAAAATAAATTTTTTTACAAATAAATTTAATTTTTTTTCTACTTTTTAAATATACATTTTCTTAAAAATCACTTTTCAAAAAGTACTATCGTCAAGGGCTAAATAATTAATTATTGTTTCTTGGGGGCGAAAGTGTTAGTAGCGACTAATACCGGATCGGTCGTTGGTGCTTCACAATCTCGTTTCACTCCTTTCCTCTTCTACAGATTCAACTGAAATCGATTTGAATTGATTCTCACTCCATAAATAAATGTAAGAATCATGCCGGTAAGTTCCTTTGTTTCTCTGGATCCAGATCACATCTCACAATTTACATTAATAATTCTTCGCATGAGCAAAGTTCATTCGTAATTCAGTGTACAATCGAAATGGACCTTCTTTAGCAACAACGAATATGTATTAGCGTCAGTTTATTCATAATTTAGTGTTCAATTGAGATGGGTCTTCTGTGCCAGAATGAATTCGTATTTGCGCAAGTTTATTCATAACCTAGGGTTACATTGAAATGGGTCTTTTGATTGGGTTGTGATGCAGTTGAGGAGAATGGTATTGGTGGAGGTGGAGCCGCCGAGCCTACTCAGATACTTGATCGGAGCAACCATAATGATGTTGGGAGTGGTGGTTCCTGTGGGTTATATGATGTTTCGCAACAAAAGAGTTCCTTCCTCTTCTTCATATTCCAAACAGACGTAGGTGTGCCCTTCTCATATTGTTATATAAGAAGAAAAATCTTATCAAAAGTTATATAAGAAGAAAAATCAAAATACCGAAGGCCCAGGATGCTTTGATGTCCAACATTGAATTTTTTTCCTTCAAAATTCTTCTTTTTTTTTTGCTTTTTTTTTTATTATTAATATATATATATTTTTTTTGTTGGGGGGGGGGGGGGGGGGTCTTGGG